GGAGAAATTGAAACCTGCCTTGATTCTCCCAGCAACCCTCATCTGGTCCCAGTGCTGGGGACCAAACCCCACTGCTGGTCACCAGGGTCTGGCAGGGCCAGGGCAGGCAGCAGGAGGCAGGCAATGCCACCCCAGGGGCTCAGGATGGACAGCAGCCCCCCAGCCACACTGTTCTCTGTCTCTCCTGCCTCCCGCTTCCTCTCAGGACGCCGTCCCTTTGTGTTTTGTGACTATAAATGGCCTTGTGCCATCAATTGTTTCCGCCGGTGCTGCGGCTGGTTGCCATAGCACTGAATACTTTCCTCTTGCCATTTCCCCCATGCAAACAGCCAGGGAAATGGGGGGAGCCCCCCAGCCTTGGCTGCATCCCCCTGTCACCCCAGCAGCTGGCAGGGTGCCGATGGGGTCTGCTGTGTTCAGCACTGCCCACTCTGAATGGATGATGCCAGGGTCTGTGGGAAGGGTATCCTGGTGTGAGAATGCCCAATGGGATCTGGGTGAGTTGTGACCCATGGTCCAGCTTCCACAGCGCCTTTCTGCTCCCTCCCCAGCTACCTGAATGACCTGGAGAGGATAGCCCGTGTTGACTACATTCCCACCCAGCAGGATGTGCTGCGCACCAGGGTGAAGACCACCGGCATTGTAGAGACCCACTTCACCTTCAAGGACCTGCACTTCAAGTATGTCTGACCCTTTCCCTTTTGCCTTTCCAAGGCAAGAAATCCCTTCCTCCCTGTGCTGGCTTGGATCTTTGTTGCACTGAGCACAATCCCCCTCCCAGTTTTGCTCTCGGTGAGAGCTGTGGCCTTGGAGTGAGCGGAAACTGCTGGAATAGCTGGAGCAGCCTCAGAAACGCCTCCCAAGGCTCGGCCAGGGGGCGGATCCAGCCTAGGGCAAGAGGGAAGTGGGAAGGAATCCTCTGGGTGCCTGACGCTGCTTCCGCTGTGGGAAGGGCACTGGGGGGGAGCCAGGGGTCTCTGTGTTGGGCACTGATGCTGCTGCCTGCTGGCATCCTGGGTTGCTTTCCACTGAAAACCCACGGGAAATAGTCAGGGCTCCCGTTCCTGAGGCAGAGCTGGCACTGTGCATATCCCGGGGAATTTAGTCACTTGGCAACAGAGTTGCCAAGAAAGATCTGCGGGGGTCCTTTCTGGGTGCAGGGGGTGGAAGGGACTCCACTGCTGCCCTGGTGGGATGGAGGCACTAGGCTGTGCATCGACAGGGCAGCGCTTTGGAGGTGGCAGAGAGGATGTGGCGTGTCCTGGTGGGAGCACAGCAGTGAGGAAGCCTTGCTGCCAGCTGGGCAGTTGGCAGTGGACATGGTGCTGCTGGCAGGCTTTTCTCTGTGGATGCAGGGCATCCTCTGCTGCCTGCAGCAGGAAAGGCACGCAGTGGACTAGGATCATCCCCTGAGTCCTTGTGCTGCCTGTGATCCCTCTGAGCCTGCAGCCTCTTGGCCAAACACCACAGCTCCGGTTGGTCTAAGATCTACAACAAAACCCCACAGCACCCGCTCCAGAGTAGGTCTCCAAGAGCATCTACTGGATCCCTGACGCCCCTGAGAAAGGTGGCCTAATCCTGCTCTGGCTGATAGTGGGAATTTGGTCCCAGACACCCTGCTGTCCCTGGATGGGCAGTGGGTGATGAGCAGATCCACAGCACCATCAGAGTGCCTGGGGCAGAGGCACCATTCTCTGCCTGCCCCAGTGCCACTCCTGCTCTGGGCAGCTGGGGAAACTGAGGTAGGGTGCGATGAGGGCAGTGCGGGAGCTGCTGTCCATCACCGCACCACCTCCCTGACGCAGAATGTTCGACGTGGGGGGCCAGCGCTCAGAGCGGAAGAAGTGGATCCACTGCTTTGAGGGGGTGACTGCCATCATTTTCTGTGTGGCCCTGAGTGCCTATGACCTGGTGCTGGCTGAAGACGAGGAGATGGTGAGTTGGGGCAGATGGAGTGGGTACTGTGAGTCATCCCATCCTTGGGGGGCAGGGGGAGCACCCCCTCCTGAGGTGGCCACCAGCGCTCTGGCCAGCGTGGCCCAAGTCTTGCAGGGCCATCTGCATCCCCTGCCTGGGCTTGCAGGAGTGTGGGGAGATGACAAGTTGGTCAGCAGTAGGGTGGGCGCTGGTTGGGGTTTCCTGCCTTGCTCAGGCTGCTGTTTTCCCTGCCAGAACCGGATGCATGAGAGCATGAAGCTGTTTGACAGCATCTGCAACAACAAGTGGTTCACGGACACATCCATCATCCTCTTCCTCAACAAGAAGGACCTCTTCGAGGAGAAAATTGTGCACAGCCCCCTCACCATCTGCTTCCCTGAGTACACAGGTACCCCCAGGACCTTTGGTGCTCCCCGAAAGGGCACCTTGGCAATAGGACAAGGTGGTGCAGGAGGACTGGGCAGTGCCTTGCCCAGGTTGTGTAGCAGGTGATGCTGGGGATGGAGATGGTGGCTTTTGTGTGCCTGGGCAGCAAGTGGGGTGCAGTGGTGTTTGGGGTGCCCCAGCGGATGGGGAAAGATGGACACATGACACAAGGGGCAGCAGCCCTTGGGGGCCTTAGCTGAGGCTCACTGTGCCTGGGGGGGAACATCAGTTCAGCATCGGAACGGTGGCTGAGGTGGTGTGGGGAGCCAAGCCAAGCCCAAACCCCTTGGATGCTGGGGGCAGGGGGGGGGCCCTGTGGGACAAGGGTGGCTGAGGTGGTGGGGGGACCCAAGCCAAGCCCAAACCCCTTGGATGCTGGTGGCAGAGGGGTGTCCCTGTGGGACTGTGGGGCAACCCAGTGCGTGCTCCTCCCCAGGGGCCAACAAGTACGACGAGGCGGCCAGCTACATTCAGAGCAAGTTTGAGGACCTGAACAAGCGGAAGGACACCAAGGAGATCTACACCCACTTCACTTGCGCCACCGACACCAAGAACGTGCAGTTTGTCTTTGATGCCGTCACCGACGTCATCATCAAAAACAACCTGAAGGACTGTGGTCTCTTCTGAGTGCCGATGCTGTCCAGGTGCGTGCTGGTCCCACTGGGGCCAATTGGGGTGGCCACAGAGCATCC